TCTACTATTCTTATTTTTGTTAGTATTACTATTCTTTCGACAATCGAGCATGGCGAGCATTCGACAATGACGCGACCAGACACAAGAGACACACATTAAACACACTGGCGAGCTGCAGGTGATTGTTTCCACCGGTGTCCAATCACAGGGGACGACGGGACAAGGCAGGAAGTGAAGTAACCCAGGAGGCATGAAACTACAAAATAAAACAAGACGTGAACCCAAACCAAAGACAAAGCAGGATTTAAAGAAAACTACTCTCATTCATATTTGTTTCTGCTTGTGAAACATTAATAACTGAAGTAAATAAGTAATGCTTGTTAGATTCAAGCCTCTTACTGCAGACGTTGCATATGATATTATATTTATACACACACATTTATTTCAAAGGAAGAGCAAGAACAACGTCCAATCACATTGCTGAATGTTCTGTCCCTCAGGTTCTATCGGATGTGTTTAACGCTCCAGTTTACACCCTTGATGTGTCCAACTCTGCTTGTCTGGGATCAGCCTACCGAGCCCTCCACGGTACGCTAGTACGACTCAATTCATTAACCTCAAAAGGCTTTACAGTCTGTACACATGTGACATCCTCCGTCCCAGAACCGTCACATTGGCATGAAAAACCCTTTGATGGGGAAAAAGGAAACCAGTGAGCGTCAGAGGAGGAACCTGTGGGATGGAGGTCATGTGTACAGAGACGTTCAACACGTTCAATGCATGTGACAGAAACGATTCAAATACTGCAAGTAGTAAGCTGGACGTACCACAGGACCACTGCAGGGACAAACTCCACCAGATAGAACCTCCATCAGATAGAACCTCCACCAGATAGAACCTCCACCAGATAGAACCACGTCAGATAGAACCTCCACCAGATAGAACCACGTCAGATAGAACCTCCACCAGATAGAACCACGTCAGATAGAACCTCCACCAGATAGAACCTCCATCAGATAAAACCACATCAGATAGAACCTCCATCAGATAGAACCTCCACCAGATAGAACCACCGTCAGATAGAACCACCGTCAGATAGAACCTCCGTCAGATAGAACCACCGTCAGATAGAACCTCCGTCAGATAGAACCTCCGTCAGATTGAACCTCCGTCAGATTGAACCTCCGTCAGATTGAACCACCGTGGTCCAGGCTAACCTGAGACCACTAGAAGCTTTATCTTAAAAGAGGAATCTGCCCCTGGACTGAAAGTGGAAGCTGGTTCCACTAAAGAGGAGCTTGATAACTGAAGACTCCATCCTACTTTTTAAGACTCAACAAGTACTTGCACTACTAGTATTATTATTAAAAGTATTGCTACTAATGCAGCCTGATTGACCCCTGATGGTCCATGTGTGTTTTCAGGCACGATGTCACAATCTGTTGCGTCCTTCTTCGATGTTGTGAAGAAAGCTCCCGAAGCACAACTGGTGGTGACACCACATCCTGCAGCACAGCAGGTACACACACACACACACACACACACACACACATGGACATGCACAGCTCCTCCCATAGAGGGGGAATAGCTTCTCTTAAATAATTATATATAATAATGCTGGTGACTGAACTGAAGCCATATTCTCACTAAAAGACGCAGGTGCAGTAGAGTCGAATACCACTCTAGTGTGTACCTTAGTACTACTACTGGTACTGAGATACTTTCCCACAATTACCGTTTTTTATTTACCAAAGCAACGTTGTCACTCTCATTTCACGCACACGCACACACAGTGAGTGAGTAAATATCCCCTGTGCACAGCAGACATTCATCACCTGATGAAGCTTCGTTATTTGTGTTCCAGGTGTACGACCAGATGCTGCAGCGCTACGCCCGATTGGAGGAGAGAGTCCTGCAGGAAGCCCGCCCCTGAGCCTCACCGTCCAATCGCCTGAGAAACACAGCACCTTTAATGGAACAAAACATTCCCAGAAACTGTACCACTGAATATGAATTCAATGTACGGTTCATGAAAAATGACATTGATTCGCTTCTCTCGGTCTGAATTCTGCCGGTGATCAATTTAAAAATGACTTTTCAGGAATATTAAAAAGAGTATTGGACTGGAAATGAGAATCACAAAACTCAAAGGATGCTCTCAGTCGTTTGTCACTCTTCTAGCAAACATTACTACTGATACATGAATCTAATTCTGACAGAATACGTCTCCCTCAGACGGGAGGAGCTGCTCCTTTGGTGGGAAGGAGCCAGTTGAGGTGGTTTGGGCATCTGATCTATGATGATGTCAGGCAGTCTGGGGGGGTGGAGACTAGTTAGGTGGACGTCATCTACTCACATTAACTCACATACTGACACACAAAAATGTTGAGGTCAATTAAAAAAAAAATCTCAATGAGGGCTTGACTGACAGCCCCTGTGTGTGTGTGTGTGTGTGTGTGTGTGTGTGTGTGTCACATTAAATCACTTTTAATTGTGTCGCTGATGGATGGATCCCTACCAGCTGCCTTACCCCAATATAGCGAGGACAGCGAGTCGCAACGCTTTGTGTTGCGTTGCTTCACATCGCGTAGAGGTCTGTATGATCACAAAATTCAGAGTTTACCCACCTCTAATTTTACCACTACAGCACTGATCAGGACTAAGACCTCATCAACAGAGCCGGTCCCCCACTGGCTGACTCTGACATCCCACCGGTCACTTTCATATACACTCACACGCAGTTGTGTAGAATATGGTTATCGCTTGTGAGCTTTATTTTTAGCTTTCAAAATATTTTTAACTTGAACTTTCATTCCCTTATTTTTAAACCAACCATTATGTTGTATTTTGTTCCTCGCGCACTGTTGTCTTGTCGTCCGTTGTCGTTCTGTCTGCTGCACCAAACGCCAAGTCACATCCTTGTATGTGACATATTTTCCTTCTCGGTTCCTGCAGGCGGAGGGAACCTTTCATGGTGTGACGTCATCACAGCCCCTTGGTGGTAATCGATCGTGTTGCATTCAGGGACTGATGGAAACCACACGTTGGTGGTAGTTTATTTTAGCGCAGGGAGCTTTAAAGCGGCCATGTAACAGCCTGCAGAACCACAATATTCATCCGCCGGTGAAAATAGTCCCCAGCAGAGTTTGTTTGAGAGGGAGACGGGGGGATGCAGGGGTCGTGGGGGGTCGTTGTGCTTGGAGGAGGAGGAGGATTATTACACACGTTGCACACAAAAGCCGGTCGTTACGCAGCGTCTCGGACTAGATGTTGGAGGGGGATCCGGGGCTCAGCGGGACCGAACCGGGGAACAGAACCGGGCTCAGCGGGACCGACCCGAGGGACGATGTGGCTCTCCGGGGCTCTTCTGGGAACTTTGTGTGCAGGTAGGAGCCGTTCGCTCCGGGGCTCGTACCGGCGGCCCGCTGCTCGGTACCGGGGGCGGTGTATGTGTTGATGAATAGGATCGATATCACTGGGACCTGTTGAAACCGGGTCTGAACCGGAACCCTTCAACGTGTCCTCGTGTTGCACCGAAACGTGCGTGATGTTTTCTGCAAGAACCACTGGACCGTATCTGTCTTCACCCGCGAGTTAGTGCGTGCGTGTGTGTGTGTGTGTGTGTGTGCGTGTGTGCGTGTGTGTGTGTGGACGCGCCTCGGGTGGATCTATCTCAGCCTGGAACCGAGAACCGGACCGATGGGTTCTGTTGGCGTGCCGCTCCTCGCTGAACGTCCACGCGCTTTATATATATATATATATATATATATATATATATATA